AATACCCCAGGCTCAGAATGATGAGATCATGCATGCCGTACTCAACCAAAGGAATAGAATTCATCTGTCTGAAATTATGAACATTCATTCTCACTCCCCAACCAAGTGGGCAAGGATTATTACACTTGCCCCTGGAATTATGTAGAGGACGTGGAACCTGTGCTCAACCAAGGACCTAGATAGGACCACTTTGCATTTGGAATTACGAGGAGATAGTGAACATCCTTCCATGAACAATATATGAAACTGCCATTGATCAAAGAGAAGAGCCATGCACCCCCTAACCAGATAGCTTCATGTTAAATATGAACCAGAATTACGAGTGGGCTTCCATGGAGGCTGGTGCCACTCCTACTGACATCTGCAAAAAACATCCACAGACCCGAGTAGGAGGGCCCCAACTTTGCCCTCTTTTCCAAAAGTGAAGGAACACACTGAAGGAAAAGCCTCTCTCTGCCACCCTAGCGACTTTGAAACTGGGGGTGGTAAGGACTCCCGAGCTCCACTAGTAAAGTCTGGGTGGTAATATGCACTGGGGAAACCTGAGGAATAATGCTACGTAAACTGTGAGATAAGTGAACCAAGTTCCCTACATTTTTAAAAGCAAACTGACCCCAATTTATTCAACCTGAAGATCGGCAGGGACGGGCAGGATCCCCTTTAGCTTTACTCATGATAGTCCATGAGTGACGGTTCATAATAGTAAGGTAATACCATCCGGTAGGTGCCTGGGTGATCTTATGGAACACCCCATTTTGACAGATCCTGTTGCAACCTATAGTAATTATAGTGAAAGTAGTTGCTAGTGCGGAATTGAAAGGAGAAAGCATACCTGTCTGGGCAACACTTGCCACACAGTGGGATCCAGTGAAAAATAAAGGGACATAAGAAAGTATAGGATTGAGGAAAATACTCACCTCTGGTTAAAATCTAACAGATGTGGTCAAATGGCTACAGGGGGTAGTCAAAAACTCTCAGAAGAGGAAACTGCCAGATCATGTAAGTAATGAGATAGGAAAGTATTAGGAGTAGTCCACATACCAGCCTACACAATGTCTTCCAGAGGGCAACTCAACAGGCTGGCTAATGACATACACATATGACGAATTTGGTGAGATGTGACACGCAAAAGATTCCTCTCCTTTAACGATAATACATTATAGGCCATGTGAATCAACTTATGAAGCCACCTCATTAGGGTAATGGGAGATAAGTAAAAGGAAATAGAAGAATTCCAATGAATGAACAATCGACTCCTAGTACCTTGAAATGAGTTAGTACAAGCCACATAACAGGACATAATAAATGATCAGGATCGGAGTGGTCATAAAGGTGAGAAATGGCAGGCAAATGGATAGGTGAGAAGGTTCTTTACCCTTCCCTGGCTGCCTATTGGGGTAAAGCAGGACAAATGTGGAATAATAAAGAGTCTGATGCACATGGATTGCAAACAACTCTGACCAATGACGTCCACAAGCCAAAAACAACAAAAAATACAATTTAAAAGAAAGGTGAAACAAAGAACACGAAGTTAAGGGCTCAAAGGCAGGTTGAGACAATGCATGTAAAACAACTGTAAAATCCCAATTCATTAATTGAAAAGGTCATTTGGGTTGAAGAATACAAATGGATTTGAGTAGTCCTGATGGTATTGAAGATTCACAAATCTTCCAGTATTTGGAATACTGAAAAATAGTGGATAAGGATGCCTTATATAAAGCCACCATAGACGAAGCAAGACCCCCTCTCAAACACCCAAGTCATAAAAGGGATATGATAGACACTTTAAGATGAAGAGGGTTTAAATTCCTTTAATACACCACTGAGGATAAGTATTCCATTTCCATTGATATACAGCAGTGGTTGGCCTAGGGAGAGATTTAGTTAAATATAGAGAAACCTTAGAAGTGAAACTGCAAAGGACCACATAACTTCCAAGCATGAAGACTGAGTTTCCAAATATCTGGGTGGAGAATATCTGACAAGGTTGTCTCAACAGAGACTGCAAATGTGGAAGAGGTTGAGGTGGATATTTCTGCAGATACCAAAGAAGTGAAAACCATATTTGAGATGGCCAATATGGTGCAACCAAGAGAACTCGACAGGGAGTGGAAAGAACCATAGTCAGAGCCCAGGACAATAGCTGAATCGGGGGCGAAGGCATACAGATGTAGACCTGTCCAGTCCTGACTGAATACATCTACTCACAACACTTGAGGATGAGGTATCAGAGACAAAACAACTGCAGTTGAGAATTCCAATGAGTCACAAAGGTATCTATCATGAGAGACATGAACTGAGAGCAAATTCACTGAAAAACTTCGTGATGTAGCATCCATTCAATTGGAAAAATCCAGCTGGGTTGAGACAAGTGATCTGCAATTAAATTCATCACTCCTGGAACGTGACATGCTAAAAGACTGATATGATGGGAATGAGCCCAGTAGAGAAGATCCAAGGTACGAAAACAAAGGTCTCCAGAATGTGTGCCTCCTTGATGAGAAATCTGAGATACTAATGTGGAATTGTTGAAATGTATCATGACAATTTTTCCCTTCAAGAGAGACAGACCTAGAACCATTGTCCAGTGTACTGCAAGAAGTCTGAGAATGTTGATATGGTGGGTAGACTCATTTTCCATCCAAATACCCTGGAACTCCTGACCTTGAAGAAAAGCTCCCCATCCCTGAAGAGATCTGGGATGAGGTGGTGGAATGAGTACCCCAATAGCAGTGTTGTTCTGAATCCAACCACCATTCCCAATCGATAATGTTACTCCTGAGTAATAACACAAGATCACCCAAAGGTTTGGAATGCATGATCTACTGGTCGTGCAGTGACCACTGAAAGGACCACGTGTGCTCATCCAAAAGTAATGAGGGACTCGAGGGTACCCACATCTTCAAAAGAGAGATAATCATTCGAGCACTAGGAGAAGGAGACATAAGTAAAACCCTGATGGCTCTTTCCATGGCTTGAAGTCTGACAAGTGTTGGTTGAGCATGACTTAAGTGAGTATTGAAAAACACACCCAAATGGATGAGATATTGCATCAGTGACAGAATAAATTTCTCCACTCTGATAAGGAAGCCTGCTTTTGTGGCTTCTGAAAGGAGAATTTGAGAGTGTTGTTCTGCTAATTGCGGGATGGTGCCAGAAGGAGCCAGTCATCCATATAATGATGTGTGCACAGGCCCAAGGAATGCAGGTGACAAAAAAAGCTTGAACATCTCTGCAGAAGACATAAGGTGCTGATGCCAGACCAAAGGTAGAGCCCTGAACTGCAGCACCTGACCCTTGTGCACAAATCTGAGAAACCTCAGGGGAAAATTCCATTATGAAAATATTAAGATAAGTGTCGGTAACATTAAAATTGGTCATCCAGAGCCCTGGCACAAAGTGCCATAGTAAGTTGAAAAAAGATTCGATTGTAAAGCGAGGAGCACCTAAAAATTGGTTGAGTCGAGAAAGATCGATGATTGGACACCAATCTCCTGTTTTCTTGGGTACAATGGATAAATGGGAATAAAATCCCAGAAGAACAGGTCGACCCTCTCTACTGCCCTTTTGATTAACAACTCTCTTATGGCCTGGGAACGAATTTTGCAAATTAGAATTTGTCAAGGGCATTCGAGTGGGATATAAAAAACAGGAGCAAGCATTTTCAATGCTTAGATGAGCAAAGAGTGGAAACCCTGGAGATCGAGAAATAGCTGTAATGTCATTGAAGTAAGTATGTTTTGGAATTGATAAATATATTGCTATATTCATGTGTTTTACCACGGCATTACAGTGCTACAATATACAAATACAGAAGGACCTGTTCTCTCATACAATTTTTTACAATACAACAAAACCAAAAACACTTAAAGCTGATTTTGAGCTGCCACATTTGTCTCGCAATGATTGTCCTTTAGAATGTTTTACTGACTAATATACATCTTTGATTAGTCTATTTCAGATATATTTCTACAAGTAAAACAAAAAACTACTCATCATTAAAAATCAATTTCGTGAAGCAGACACTTGAGGATTATACATACACTCCTATTTTGTACAATTTAAATGCTAGATACAGAATGTATATAAATATACATTTTGGTCAGAGTGCTGAAATTTGTTAGGAAATATCACAAATAGTTAAGAAAAATTGATTGTAACATGCGATAAAATTAATAAAATATTTAACGTGAGTTCTTAAGCACCAAATGTTGGTGTGGCCAGCAGAGGAAACTTCCATTATTTGGTGAGATAAAACAATGACTTCATTTTCAAACATTACAAATTGATGCTTCAATGTACATTAATAATGATACATTTATATTTTATTGTAAACTTACTTATGATAATTAATAGTTCAAGTTAGTTTATTACATAAATTTGGTTTCACTATATCTAGTTGATTATCTGTTCTGATCACCTTAGCTTATTTTTTATCATAACTTCTCAGTAAGAAACAATTTATGTGAATTTATTTTCTGATACAAATAATATCTATATCAATGAATCTTAAATATAAGTAAAATTATTCCTAATTTAAACTTTGGTACAACTGCAGTAATTCAATAATATAGAATGAGCAACAAGAAATTATTAATTTGTCTTTTTTACTATTTTGCAGTGTAAACTCAGTAAATCAGGTAATTGATTTCATTTTAAAATGGTAAATAAAGGTCTTTGTAATTTATTTACAGAGTCAGCTTATATCAGCTACCATTTAAAAGCTTTGCAGACTTAGTTCAACATCATCTACATGTATTTTTCTGCTACTGTATATGATGTTTATGGTAAATTATTTACACTTCATATATAGTTTTAAAACAAAAACTCAAATTTTTTATTACTCTTGTCCTTGATGGTACTTTTGGTAGTTATTCAACACCGACAGCAAAAAAAAAATTATAGGTATAAAGTTTCTTCACTTATTAACAAAATATCTACAACATAAAACACCATTGGAGTTTAAGATATTACTCAATTAAATGCTGTTATAAAGATACCTTTCCCTGAAGCTTCTTCAATTAATGGGTTGATTTCTATCATAACTCCATCATAATTGACAAATACATCATATAGTTTGGCCATCATTTCTGCTGCCTACAAATATGTTAAACATGAGAAAATTATATCTTTATAAATTATAACTATAAATTATAACTGTAATTAACCTCTTCTATCCAGTTTACTAAAATTTATAGGCACAATTGTCTCTTTTTCTCACTGGATATTCATACTTTAAAGAAGTAATAGATATGCTTTCACCCTTGTCAGTTTATGTTATATCCATTCAGTAGCTGTTAGTATTTCATGTACTAATCACCATTTGATGTGAAGGTTATTGTGCAAAGCCAAGAATGGACATGTGATATTAGCTAACATATAAGCCCAAAGAGATGTAATCTCAGGAGTTTTTCGGTATGTTGTGAGCAGACAATGAGTCTGGTTGGTGCAGATTCCCAATTTTAAATAAACTATGCTGATGGTCATTAGTATTTCCATGAGGTTAGGCTGGGAAGCATTACAACAGCACTTGGTTGACTAATGAAGTGAGTATAAGAACTTATGAGTGAAAGTAAAAATGACTGTAATAATATGTCAGTCACACTATATCTGCTATATCCAGTTTCAACAAGACCTTTCGTCCAGTATCAGGACTCAACAGGCAGGCTGAGATAGAAAGACATAATGTTCAAAATGCTATTCATACTACACATTACTTGAACAACTTTAATACAATTAATACTCACATTTAAGATCTTATGGAAGCCTGTAAAACCTGGTACAGAACTTACGTTATTCGTAAAACAAAATTATATGTTGAAACAAATTATTAAATGGAAGCAGGATCTTTTTTATATTTCTACTAAATCACTGCCTTTAGTAATTCCATAAAAAAAAGAAACTAAAAAGGAACTAACATTTCATTCCAAATTTCATATTTGAAAACAAAAGCAAAAACACATTTCTTGTTTCATAATTTGCTTTGAATATCGAAAAAATTAATATTCTCCCTGTCTATAACTTAAAACTAGCTTATTGGTTTTCTGATGGTAAATAACAAAAGAACATACAATACTTCTTCATATCATACTATTTATCTAAGTTTTACCAGCTATAATAAACTATTACCAAGCAAGGTTATAGGCTAAATGTTATAGTTTTTACACAATTATACACACATACACAACAAACAAAATAAAAGGAAAATTCTACTGTAAATTTTATTTTTCAGCTCTTTAAAATTGCAGATAAAACTCACTTCTTCAACATTTTTGTGATGAAACCCAAGTTTTTCTGCAACTCTCAAGCACTGTTGTTTCTGCAAACCTTGAACTATGTCAATAGGTTCTTTAATTATGGCTTCAGGGTTCTCTTTTGCTACATCTTCAATGTTAACTCCTCCTTGGGAACTTGCCACTATTACTGGACCCTTAGAAACAAATTCATATAGTTGCTAGAAAATATTTACCTGTTCCTTCCATTTAACTACTATTTCAATTAAATACAAATATGTTTTATAATGCATTAAAAATTTATACTTTAGCATTTTAAATTGACAAAAACAAATATTAGTTTGCTTACTGTCAAGCAGAAAGCTACATAATGGGATATTTGTGCTCTGCTCATGAGTATCAAAACACAACTTGTAGTGTTATAAGCCCTCAGACTTACCAATGAGCCACATGAGGGCACAAAAATTAGTAATATACCATTCTATCTATATTATTATTAAAACGTATTTAAAAAAATTGTGTAATTCTTATACACTATATCGAAACACTTGAAATTTTCAAGAGAGAAGAAATTCCTTTATAGCAAAACTTACACTATAGGCTCTTTCCATGGTAATAGCAAAATAATACTCCCTTCGTGCATATAAGCGTTCAGAGATCATAACTTCATGACACACATGTCCTTTGTCACCAGTCTGTTTAGTGCGTAACTGATGACCCAACATGCGAGAAGCTATTTCTTTGGCTTCTTCTGGCCTAATTCAATGAAATAGTTATTTACACTAACTTGTCAAAATATTACAATTTTATTATTGTTCTTAATACTTCAGAAACAATTACATTTGAATTTTTACAAATAACAGATAAAAATGCATTAAAAGAATTTCAGATATTTGTCAGTTCCACATTTCAAAAGTACCATTTTATAACATTTTTTCCCAACAAGAACAATAGTCAAATACATGTAAACAAGTATTTGAAAAACTGTTATATACACTACTTAAAATAATAAATCAGAGTTGTCTATATTCTGGTTATGACAAGGCAAAAACTAACAATATTAAAAAATGTAAACAGCATCAATCCCCAAACTTATTTTTATGCAAAATAAATATATTGTGTATTGACATATAAATGTTTGTTATTTGAGTCTATTTTCACATATACTTGGTACTACAGACTTTGTACCCAATAAACAATCAGATTAGCTGGTCACTAATGCACTTGCACATCAATTTGGCCAGCTTATGATGGGTGAATCAATGATCAACTAGGGAAACCTAACTCTTCCATCTAAGTTGCTTTTCATCATGGCCACCAAAATCTTTCATGTGCCCTACAGAAGGATTGGGTATGTGGGTCCCCTCTATCAATCAATTTTCCCTTGCTTTCTCCAGAGACCCCTTGGAGCATTGAGCTCCTGGGAAATTTTCCTGGGCTCCTTGCCCTCTCTTAGTGGGCTGCTTTCAGTTCATCATCAATCCTTGTAGGCGACTCACATGCTACTAAACATCTTCCTAGAGCAATTCATATATGTATTCAATCAATTTATAAGTCTGCTGAGCATGCCAGCCATTCCATTCACTTTATAACTTCTTTTTCTAGTATTTACTAAACAGTTGAATATGGTTGGAATGCATGTTATAATCCATCAATAGAAAGTTTTGGCCTACTGCTTCTGTACATGGCACTGATAATGGCTGTAAGACAGCATCTCTATAGTGTATGACAGTCATAATGCCATACTGTAGTACATAAAATGTACAGATATTAATACAGAACTCTGCCCCAATCCATATGTTAACACCATTCTCTTCTTCATGGAACTGGATTGGATCTGGTTCCAAGAGCTCTCCAAGTGTGTAAATGTCTCGTACTTAGCTGTAATGTGAAGCAGGATTCACCTGTAAGCAAGATCTTCACCCATGTGTTATATGATCAATTCAAATGTTCTTGGAACTACTGAAGATGGGCTGTTCCATGGTGATGCATTAGAGAAACTATGCTTTTGGTCATTTGACATAAATATAACTTTTCTGAAATCTGGTTCTAACCATTTGCATGTTGGTCTGTCATACAGTTATTGCTCTGAAATGTTGCATCAATTAGGAAGGTGAGGCCTGCTGGTTGCTTCAAACCCATATTGTCAAATAATGGTCATCTTGTGGGATTGTTGACAGTGATGTTGGTGGTCTGAAAGTAAGTTCATTTCATGCTAACCACAATTTGATATACTTGTAACAACACCTTACAATGACTTGCTTCTAGCTAACCTTTTGCCCTCATCCAAATGTCTTTGTTGGATCCTGGCATGTTTAATTATCAATGTAGATCACTTTACACACACTGATGTTGTTCGAAGTGCTGACTAAGAATACATCATGTTCCTTTCTCTTCTATATATGACTGAAGTGTGCATGTCAGATCACGTGATAGACCACCTAACACTTGTTTTGTGCAAATATTAACTCAAAAATGCCCCTGAAATTATTTATTAACAAATGTTGTGCCTTTTCATAATTAGACTATAGAAAACTTTGATTATACCTTAATTATTTTGAGAAGTGTAAAGTAGGAATAGACCATGGGTAAGCAAAAGTAAAAGAAAATGTTTTCACCATTTTCAAGAGAAATACTAAATTAGTAAATATTAAAAACTGACATCAACAGATCATTAAAAATAATGTATATTTAGATTTATTAGAACTGAGTAACTGTTTAGCTGATAAGTTTAATACACTACAGAGTTCAAAGGACCCTAAGAAAAGTGTGTCCTGTGAAAATACAATATCTTTACATGAGGGAGAATTGTGTGAAATCAATTTAGACTCAAATGCACATTACAACAAAAAACAGCAAATAAATGAAAATTGTGAGAATTTTATATCAGTGTATTAAATTTTTAGACTAATATATTTAAGCAAGGTGAATGCTCAATTTACCATTTTCAGCATGATTTTTCACAATAATCTGTATTCTAATCAATTAACAAGTGTCCCTTTCCACATACTATGCAATTCTGAGACAATCAAAATTTACTCTATGTTTGAAAGTTAGCAGGCAAGCAGATATCAATTGTGAATTTTTTATTACTTCAGGTTATTTACACTAATTTTACATCATCAAATATCAGTTGTTTTTTTTACTTTAAATTGTTTTAATAGTTTTGTTTTAAGGTTATTTGCAACATTCAATTTTTCTCTAGTTATATTATTCTAAATCAGGTGTGGAAGACTTTAAAAAATTCCCTTTTTTTGCACTTGAATCTCACAACTTAAACAGGAAAATATGCTTCAACCACAGTTGTTTACATCCAGTTGACATATTATAATTTATCACAATTACATGTACTTGTTTGTTTGTTGAATTTCATGATAAACTACTTGAGGGCTATCTACAGTAGCCATTCCTAATTTAGAAGGCTACAGGGAAGGCAGCTAGTAAGCATCACCCACTGTCTAGTCTTGGGCTACTCTTTTACCAACAAGAAGTGGGATTGACCACCACACCATAATGCCTCACTGGGTGAAAGGGTGAGCATGTTTGGTGACAGGATTCGCACCTGTGATCTGCAGATCATGAGTTGAACACCCAAACAATTACATGTACAACTTTTTAGGTTAATAAAGATTAATAGTTTCTATCTAGTCTCAATGTAGTTTGTTTGTTTTTTCAGGAAACTAATGAAGAGGAAGACATTTTATCAAGTTATTATCCCAGCTGGATATCTTAACCCTATAACAACTGGTACACTTTTTAAATACCTTTCTGCACATGTCATAAAGTGTTACCAAGTTACAATTAAAATTTAATTAATCCAGTGTACTATCAATGTATATTAACCCTATTGCCCGAGTATCCTTTTCTGCACATAACACAAGGTTTTAGTGTCTTACATTCAAAATTTTATTAAACTACTTTTTGTTTATGTTATACCAATTCAAATAGCATAAAATCTTAGCTAATAATCCATATTATAATAGCAAACACGTTTTAAGTTCTTAATTCTACAAGGCAATATTAAAAAACATCCTGAATTTCCGCTAGTGTAACTCATGTGACACATTTTCTTTTAGCATGTCATCTTCCCTATTTTATCCACCACCCCTCGAAAAAGTGCAAAATCAAACATAAATTACTCTCTATAAAATCGTTATTGCTCAGACAAACCATAATTTTTATAGCCTTCAATTTTGTTTGTTTACAGAGCTATCAAATTGAAAATCAGACCCCTCCTACCACATCCATCTGTTACATCCTCTCTTTTACAGTTCATTGATAGTTCTCTCTTACATTTCATTATATATTACCTATAGCCAATAGAAAGTAAAGGTTTTTCATCTTTCAAATGATGTATTGTATAACATTATGTTCAGAACAGAATATCGTCAATTTCACTCAAAGTACAAGATTCGTTCCTGTGGGAAAGTTAACGACTAGCTTGTATGAATTTGTAACGGCTCTTGTCGCATAGTTAGAAAGACAGAACAATTTTGAGAGGTAAGGGAATTTGTCTACTTTTTGCATGTTATTAGTCTATATTCTTTGGTACATTATTTA